GTGTGAGACAGCAATGCTAACAACTATGCTACCACAAAGCCTATTATGTTATGTATAAATAATTTGTGTTAATTTTTTTTTTCAGCAAAAGAAAGAATCCTCTAAAACAAGCAATTTCTTCTTTACTTGGCTTCCTTACTGCTCTCTTTTTTCATTAATTTTATATCGGAGTGCAGACTATTGGAAGCCTTTCTTGCAACAACATCCCCACATGTGGCCTGTCTGCAAGAAGGGAGGTCAAAGTTCATCATAGTTTACAGGCTAGTAATTAAAGAAAAATCTCCTAACAGGTCTCCTGAGATTTAAGTATTGTGTTCATTTCATATACAGTCAAAATAAACAGGATGATTCACAACTTTCTTTTAATAAACAGTTTTATTTGCTCCAGCTTTTGTTTCATGTCTGTAAGTTTATTTACAAAATGTAAATGGGACAGCAGCTACTTGCACTGTAATTTTTCTTTTTCTTTGCTTCCACTTGGAAAATTGTTAGTCTTTTTGAGTGATTTAAAAGCAGAGTCTTACTTTTCAAAAAAACAGTGAAACTCCCTTTTTGCTGCAAAAGAATCACTGTCAATCAGGAGATTACATTGTGTGCATGTGCTTTTTGTCTATTCGGTGCCTTGCTTGTATGAACTGGTTCTTAAGAAGTGTTTGACATGATCCACCCTTGGGGGAATATGTACTGAGATTTATTTCACATCAGGCCTTGGCAGTAAATTGCCAATTTTTCCATCTGTTTCTCTGCCCAGCTTTTCGGGTCCTTCAACTTTTTTAACCACAAAAAGAGTTGCTTGATTTGAAAATCATACCAGTGTTTTTTCTAGCAAATCAGTATGGTCACCTAACCTCTTCAAAAGACTAGAGTTGTCCTGAAAATGAATGACTGGTGACACAGAATTTGTTTTTGATTTAGAAAGTTATTAATTTAGCAAGCTATAGCATGTTGCACCATTTATTTTTTAAATGGTTCATGTACAGGCCATGTTGAATTTCCTAAGCAAAACAGAGTTATTCATTTCGAATTAAACAGTTAAATTGTTTTTTGAGATACAGTACTGTACTTTCCCATTTTTAATTATCTTGCAGTGAGTTAATCTCTGTTAATAACATTTTTTTTAAAAAGCACATCACATAATACAAATATTTATAAAAATTAAGAAACAGCATGTCTACAGATTTGAATTGAAAGAGAATATATTTGTAAAAGCTATGCATTATTGGTGTAATTGATTGTAACTTTTCACGTTTTATGGTATTAACTTCAGTTTAGTAGCAAACTAAATACTATGGAAATCAGAAATATGTAAGGCACAAGTGTGATTTACTGTGAAGTAATCATGAGGTTATTGTAGTTCTGTAGTTCTGTTTTTGTTATGATAGGTAGCCTAATTAGTATCAGAGAGATGAAAATCAAGAGGTTTCAAGATGTGAAGGATTACGGAAATACTGAAACATTTCACCATCACCCACACATGCCTGAGTATTCGCATAATACTGTGCCAATTGCGTTTTCTCTCTGGTATAGACTGGAATGAATGACATTAGTCATTCTAAGTGATTGCATGTCTACTTCGGGCTACATTTTCTAATGATTTAGTCTGTAAAATAACAGTCATATTCTAGAAAAATATCAGGGTAGGGGTATACCTATAATAGGTATATAATAGTTCCTTTGAAATTATTTTTAACAATAAAACACAAACTAGTATGTTAAAATAAACAATGGGAAACACTGGGAAAGTGGTGGGATCTTAACTAGTAAACACTTACCAAAATCTTCATCAAGAGAAAATCACACAAATTAGATCAACATTTGGTTTCAGCTTCAAAAACAGCTGAATGCTATTCCTGCTGCAGTTACCTACATAGACAATATAGCATTTCATAGTTAAAAACCAACCTGAAGTCAAACCTGAAGCAACATCAGATGAAGTGAGTTTATAGAGAGGATGAATTCTGCAGCAAATATTACAGTATGCTTTTCCAGTTTGGGGGTTGAACACCAGAATTTATGAGTGATAGTCTTAAATCTTGTAACTTCATTACAATAAAGGGCTATCTCTTTACTTCATAAACAAAATCTCATACCACTATATTGTATCCTTTCTGGATGAATAAAGTGCAATTCATTGCTAGCTAAAATGCCATAAGGCTTAAAAATAATTCAGATGGTTTCTGGAACAAATAGTTATAGAACACATAAAAGTGAATATGTCTATGAAATGATAAGGAATTACCAGTTCAGAATAACTTTTTTTTACCAAACTTTGGCAAACATACCACAAAAAATAAACTGAAAAACACTTATGAATTAGATTTGTGATATTTTGAATTCCTTGTAAATGAGTTCCCTCTTTAAAATACCAGATGTTGCAAAGGAATGACTATAGTAAAAACAATGGACTTTGTACAATACTTTTGTTTGTGGCTTGAATTAACAAATTGTACTTTATTCATTGTACAGGATGAGTCAATTGAGAATGCATCTTCATTAGTACTGACAATCTGGAGACATGTTTATAGAAAAATGTTTTTTTACTAAGTAAACTACCCTGCACAACAAAAGCAGCATGTCCCTACTCAAGATCTGTACCCACAACCTTCTGTTCAAGAACTCCTACAGTACATTGCTACCTTTAAATCTATTCTTGCCAAACACTTACACAAAATTTCACACGCAACAAACAAGAAAATATTTGCATAAATGTCATATCTGTTGAATGTGAAATTTGAAATTGTTTCATGAATGAAACAACTACCTTTGTTTATAGTTTTTAACCTTTGTTTTTACTTACTGTACATAGTTTGGATTCTCAGATTACTTAAGCTGAACCATGCAGACTAGTACAAAAATCATTTTCTAGTACTAAATTGTTTTGTGTGCAAACCAACAGGTTATGTATCATTTGTTTTCTTGAAGAATATACCATCTCAATTGTAATGCTAACCACTCTGAGTAAACTTGACAAAGCTAGTTAATAAATAGGGGAAAACATTTAACTCAGTAAACTTTCACTTTGAAAACAAGAAAATGGGCAACAAGATAATAAAAATATATTTATTTTACAAAGTAGCAAGAGTAAAGAGGATCCTACATAGAGTACTGTATCTTATGACAACAAGCGAAACAGTAATGTAAAAATTGAACATCAATGTAAAAGCAAGAAGACAAATTGCTTAAAACCTGCAGTTAAGTACGTAGCCTTACCAATGAAATGGCTTACAAAGCAGGTGCCATGTGGACACAATAAAGGTATTTAGGAACTAGCACCTTCTGTGCAGTTGAAGAAAACTGAGACACAAAATGTTAGCAAAATATCAAGATGCATTTCTTAGTGATTTCTCGTGATTGCAAGCTTATCAGACACAGATTCCCACTTCTGTGTGACAATCGTATGAAGCATTCAGCCAGCTCAACAGAAGAGATTTTTTTAAAAGTATTTCTAAACATATGGGTGGACCTCAAGGAAGTTGCGGCCGCTAGGGAATGCAGTAACGGTCCATTGGTGGCCAAAGGGCGACACATGACGCACCATCTTAAGATCATGGTGTCATTGTAGGTATGTAAGCCACTAATGCGTATCTGGTAGCATTTAAGCAAACGCATAGATTGGGATTTGGGGTAAGGTTTGAGGTTTGGGCTGTGATTTAGGATAAGGGAGGAAAATTTAAATAGACCTGTACCGAAATGTACCGTTACAGTACATAGCAGCACTGCCAACCACTTTAAGAAAACTTGTATTCTTCATGTACCTTTTTGCAAAGCAGTTTTATTACGGTACGCATATTAAATACATTACATTTTATATCAAGCATTCTTTTAACTGTAATATTTTTGCATTTTTATCTAAGTATAAAATGTTACATGAAGATTATTACTTTGTAGATGCAGAAGGTTTTTTTTTTGTTTCACATTTGTCAGATTCGTAACACTTGAAACTTTGGCAGTGCTTGCAAACGTGTAAGCAGTCATCTGTGTCAAAATCTGGGACAAGTAGCCTCTAAAAGTCATAACAGTTTTAGCAGCCTTTAAAGGCCAACATCACCATTACTTACAGGACAAGCAGTCAATACGGAGCAGCATACTGCATACTCATCGCCAATGGGTAAACCTCATAATAATATGACAGACAGGAGACAGACTGATAAATGAATACAGTGTGTCTAGTTTACTATTGTATATTTGTTACCATTAATAAATGACATGAAAAGAGTAATTACTAAGGTGATTAAGCCTATTCACAATTCATGGACTCATGATGTAGACTGCAAACAGTGTATTTTAAGATGGATCAAAGACAAATATAATTACTAAAGGGAAACTTTAAACGTTCTTACACAAGTACTTTTTGTTAATTTATATTACTGAATGTTTATATAAAGTGAAAAATAATCAGTACACTGCAGCTTGGCTAATGCCACAGCTTTATCTCATCCAACGTGTGCCTACAGGGCATCTCTACAGATTGCAAAATGTACATGTCAAACTGAGGCTTGATGTGGAAGTACGAACATGTTCTCACGATTCAGAAAGAGATTTAAAAAAACAACTCACACTGATAGGCGTTCTGTGTGTTTTTCAACTACTGTGAATGTGAACTACTGTCTTTTTTGTGTATATTATTTTATTAAATAAACCAGAATTGGAATAGCAATGACACATCTGACAGATGTAGAATTGGCATTATTGGTTTACATTATCCTGCCCTCCTCACATTCTTACAGTTAAATCAATATTAGTTCATGAAGCAATTTCTTGGATGGGAAAAATCTATTTTTGTTTGACCATACACTGTACTTTTTTTCTGTAAAGGTGTATTTGTTGATTAAGGAAAAGCACATAAGAATATATTCTCCATCCTTCTTAGTGATTTCACAATTTGTAACCATTGCTCAAAAGTTGATTATGCTGAATTTCATATCTACAATAACTATGCGTTCAGGAGATGGTAAGCTAATGAAGGTACAGCTGTACTGAAGGACCGTTAGTAATGACAATCACTGGTTTAGTTTTTGAAAGAGTTTATTCGAAAATAAAATTTTAGTGGAAAGGCAACTACAGTATATGCCTGCATGTGAATTCATCTCTCAGTCAAAAAGATGTTTTCATGTCTACATACCTCAGCACATCACACTGTGCATATCATACCCCACTGCCTTCTCCAGCTGATACGTTTCTTCATCTTCTTCAGCGGACTGTTAATTTCCTCAAGGATACCTGGAAGTTCTATATTGTTGTCTTTAACAAAAGTAGTTTTAAATTCAATGATCAAAAGAAACAATATATTAAATCTGTAAATAAAGGACAATTATACAGAAATTGATTTACTACATCGTGGAGAGCCTAATGTTAATGTCAGAATGGTATGCATATTTATTTTGAAAATACAGGTCTCACTTTATTAGTCTTTTTATGGTTGTTGGATATGTATCAGCCTTTTTGATCCAATTTCAAATAGGAATGCTACCGTCTATACAGCTTTAAGGGAAAAGCAATGACCTTTTCACAGACATACAGATGAGCAATACAAATATGGGGATCTAATGAATTTTGGATTTAAAAGGCACTATATTTTTTTAAATGGTAAACATTTTATATTTTAAAATTGGATAGATTTTAAAATTTCATTTAAATATACATGTAAAGAAATATTTATGTTTTGCCGTATACAACACACTAACTGTATACTTTACATTTAAATTTTAAATGCCATTTTAAGTACTGCAAGTTTATAAGCCAAACATGATAAAAAATTTGTATAAAAACAAGGTCAATATTTATTTTCCAAAAACGCAGATTTGGATCATTTGTTTTACGAAACAACACCATTTAAACATTGTCACCATTTAAATCCCTTTAATACTTACCAGTATTTTCACTCAAGACATTTAGGTTTACAAATAATAGGTTATTCACAAAATAAAATAAGTTATAGTACAATAAACTTGACAAAGTGAAAACAAAAACTCATACAATGATGAACTGTTCTCTGAGGCATCATGGGTTTTTTTAACCCACCAAACTCTGTAGTCCATTGCTCAGTTTGTACTGCAGAAAATATGTCAGAGCTGTGCAAATGATTAAATTGCATAACAAGGACACGTGCTCACAGTCCATAGACATAGATCCTGTTTTCTTGAATGTCTTTGATATACAAAGTAACTATATAGTTACATCCAACAATCCCTTGTTTATTATTCCCAAATGGTTACACATTATATCGTCAAAATAAAGGTCATGTACAGTACAAACCAGGTTCCATAAAAGGCAATCCCAGAATTCACAGATTTTGCCACCGACAGGTTACTTACTTCATTTCTGTACAATAAACGTCAACGGGTATTATGTAATCTTTGAGAGAAACTGTATGGAGAAATCTTCAAAGGGAAAATGCCACATCTGATAGCTCTGTAACCTTGTTAAAGTGGAAGAAAGATCCGAAGTCCCATACTAGCACATTCATCTTTCATGTGGGGTTAAATCTGCAAACTCTGAAACTGCATTTTTCAATAGCCTGGCCCTCTACACGTTTAATTCCATTAAAGCAACTGGGCGCATCAACTTACTTTCTGAGATTTCCTGAACAAAGCTTGATGCTTTGGATAATAAAAACATCTGCCAAACTAAAAACAAAAACACTTTGGTGACAAAGTATTGCAGTACGTAATTTAGTTTCTATAAATGCCTTCTAAACAAATATGTGTGGTTTATATTTGTGTGAATTTATTAAATTACAGGCTTTTGTGTTGGGGTGTTGGGAATACATTACAAACAAGGAAGGCAGATTCCATAGATGGCCATACCTGCTGTTCCATGTCTGCTTGTTTAGTCATATTCCTCTTTTACAGTATCATAATCCCAGTCCATTGCTTTGTAAAATACATGTTACGTACAACACCTTTCAACAATTTATACATTTTTTTCATTTTAGAACCCTATTTAAATACTAAGTAGTGCTCAGTTCTTGATAAAAAGTATTGTTTTATTTAAATTATTTAACTTAAGAACACTTAAAAAAACACAGTGCAGATTTAAAGAATCAATCCATATTCTAGTGTTATAATTCATGCTGTGTACATTGCACATGTACTTTCCACTTGCACATGTTCCAGTCATATTTTGTGCTTCCAAATCTAAAAATGGAAATGGCAGTCCACAGCAAAGGAAAGAGTGTCTAGCAGTCCATACATGTCACTTCCCTTGGTATGAAATGTTTTTTTTTTATTACTATTTGCAAACACTAACCCATTCTGTTATTCTGCACTCCTCACATACGACATAACAACACCAGTGAAACTTGCAATTGCACCTTTCACTTCTGGTCTGCTGCAAGATGTTATGCCCTCTTCCACAGCAGAGACTTTCACAATTGTCCATCTCTGTGCTGGTTTTATTACAGATTCTTCCCTGTGTCCCAGCAGAATCCGACTCCGGCTGTCTCTCGCAAAAATCGGGCGACTTTTCGAAGTAGACCAGCTCGTTGATGCTGGCCCTCCGTCGATGTGGCGGGTGGGCATGTTCTACCTGGCCCGTGTTTCTGTTGTGGGCTTTGATTAGTGTCGCTATCTTGAACCTCTCCTTGAGAAGGGACCCAACAACTCTGAACTCCGGTGTAACCTGCCAACAGGTTTTTAGTTGACAGCTTCCCGATGTTCCATGGCATTTACATTTCCTCTTCATGTGGTCCATCACCACCTACAAGAATAAAACAAATTGGCTGTCAGAAATCGAGCCCACGGATTTTTATTTTATTATTCAAAGGAAGTCAGAAAACAAAAGTAATGTGAAATGTGTTGGGCTGGGGACATGTTGTGTGTGCATTGAAACCAATTATTTTGTTTTTCCTCCTTCCATGTGCACTCATACAAAAAAACACACTGCAGCTGAAGATGTTTCTCCCACTTCCTAAAACTACAGCTCTAACAGCAGCATAGTCATCTGTCAGCAACAGCTTTAAACTTTGGGATCCGATTACTCACAGGAAAAGGGGCCAACGTCAGCAATGACAGATCATGGAATACCAACCCCTATCAATAAGGAAAGCAAAATCAGTAGCACACCTTGAGAGCACTATTTCACTTTACGCTGAACACTGACTCCATCACTCTAAATGATATTGTCAAGAGGAAATACACATGTGACACACATCTGATAAAGTCCTTTCCTGTACATAAAAAAGTGGACACTAAGTTCTTCAAGGCATGACTGCTAAGGATATTTAGAAGGACACTAAAACAGATAAGTGAAATGTTACTTATCAGTTTTTCTGACACCCTTCAGTTATTTCTGTGTCTCTCCTGCCCATTTTAGGATCAAAGTGAAGATTCAGAGAATATTTCATCCATTGCAAAAACAAGTCAAGGTCATTTAAATAACCAGCTTGTTCCTTTCCATTACATTGGGTTTCTTTCAACGAATGCATTCCTCCACTTCATAGTTAGCATGTTGTGCTTTATTGCCTTTATCGGGAATAAAGGCCACCTTAAAGTTTTGCCAATTACAATGTAATTACTCATGGTAAAGATCTGTAGGTGTAGTAAAATACAATTAAGAATACCAGACTTCAAGAATACCAGGCTTTAATGGGTGTTACTACATATTGGGAAATTTAGTGTTAGAAACTTTAAATGTGTCAAAAAAACGATGAATAGAACTCCTTGTCTCATCCATTAGGAATGGTAAGCGTGATAAACATCAGACTCAGTCTCACTGAAGCCAAAGCTAACATTAATTCATTGTGATGAACAACACAATCATCACCCTTCTGAAGAGGTGCTGAATGTCTCTTTTAAGACTGCTTGCATCACATGAGTTCAGTGATAATTCAATCATACTCTAACAATAAAGTGACTGATATGGACAAAACAATATGAAAAGTAACAGAGTAAGAACAGGGGAAGAACACAGCTTTCGTAACCATTTCCTGCCCAGTGTGTAGTGAAAAGAGAGTCTGAAGACGTGTTATTAAAGGGTTGTTGTGGTTGAAACTGATTGACTATTTATTTCTTTTTAATTACCAAGCCACCTTCAGCCTCCTCAGACATCACATGTTTTGCCTTGAAGGCAGAAAGAGTGGCTGTGAAGCAATAACCAGCACCCTGGCCCTCGAAACCACAAAGTCTAAACCACTGATCTAGTATCACAGGAGTAGTAGCTGTTGTTGTTAGAGGTGGAGTGCTGTTAGTTACAATAAAAGTAGAATTTTCTGAATGGGAAGATGCCATTACTTAATTATGAATATTTATTATTCATTGTAAGTCTTTTGAAAATCATAAAGGTGGTCACCATAAGTATCACAGAAATTCCTATGAGATTGCTATCCTATATTACACATAAAGGTTTTTTAAGTACTCTGCGGTAGATCTTTTATTTCCCTCCAAAGCAGGTCTCTTTACTCCTCACAATGTGCCATGCTCATACCTAGCAAAAAAATGTAACACGCAGTTTCTATTATTTAAGTATTTAAAGGACATATAAGTACTAGATGCATATTAAAAATGTTGTCTGTGGGAAGAATGGGAGGGAAAATGATAGACCAATTTTATAGATAAAAAAGTATCAACATCAAAGCCAATTTGAGGGCAAATCTACCTTAAATATAGACTCTTTCTCAAAAAACTTTGTTTCTCTTAAACTGACTATGGGCTGTTTTAAAAGTACTGTACATGTGTAACAGAACATCTGTCTGTCACAGAATGCTTCCTCTGATTTGGGGTCTAATCTCCCAGACATTTTGACTAAGGGAGTTCTTTCAACTGCCTGTTGCATTTTCTTAGAAAATTAAGAATGCACTGAGTTATTCCTTAAAGGCATGTACTCATTATAGAAAACGCATGTTTACAACTCACTTTCCCCTACTTATTAAAACCAAACAGGATACACATTTTACAGGAAAAGATTTAATATTATTTCTAACAGAAAATAGGCAATATTTTAATAAAGGCTTAACACGATGTGACTTCTAGGGTTATGTAGGTTTTTATTAGATGTGGGAAGAATCACTTGAAGTAATTACTGAATAATCAGCGGTTGAAGAGCGGTTACAAATATACAACATCTGGCCTTTCCTAATTGAAGAACATAGGGAAAAAAAGATTCAATAAACTGAGTCCCAAGTAAGATCAAAAAGAACATATTGGTGGCATACTAGGACCATAGGCAATTTATGGGGCCTAAGCATTATAAAGGTTTACTTTCTTTCATATCTAAAAAAGAGGACCTAATCCGTTCGTCATTGACATTTTTCAGAACACATTTATTATTAATTAGCTTTATATATGCAAAATCTTTATATCATAACAGCACTCATGTCACAACCTGAAATGTTAATGGCACTGTGTCCAAGTACAGTACTTATCTATATTATCAATATTATGGTCATAAAAGTGATATGTTTGTTTTTTGGAATTAGCAATTTATTACAAATGGGAACAATAGAAAAGACTCCCAAATGTAGACGTAGTCATAAAAAAATTGAGTGGGGCTGTCCTTCTCAAAACACATCGGTTATTTTTGTGTAGGTTTCAGCTTTCTTTATAAAGTTCAAAGCCATGTGTGTACAAAAGAAGTGATCTGAAATCCAAACCAAGCTGTTTCCACATGAAACCATTGAGTAAGCCAGGATGAGTGTTTTATACCTCAAAATTGCCTGTGAAGATGTATTTTAAAGGAAATATTAAAGGGGAATGGTTACAAATGAACAGAATCATTAAAAATAACTGGGAAGTGAAATTTCGCATCATTTTGATTCCTTAATCGAATGTACTCAGTACAACATAAAGATGCTTTGGATTTCAATCTGAAAGGTCCTGTGTTCCCATAATTCACTTGTCAGATCCTGACAAGGAAATGTTGCCATGATGCCATCCTGTTTTAAGGCTTTAGGTTTTAATTGGTATAGTTAGCTGAAAGCAGGGCAAATATCACTTTTACTATACATGACTGTTCTTTACATTTGCGGCGTGTGAAAGGAAGACAAAGGCATAACATTTCTTTTTGTTGCAGAGGAAATGAAAGTTATTCCTGCAGTCAATAAGATGGCAGAACTAAAGTATCTAATCTAAGATCTGTCCATGCACAGGTCTTTATCAGTGCAACCAAATTGGTTTTGGCAAGATTATGTTTTCGGTGGTCTGTTAACCCTTCAAAATTAACTCACAGATTCCATATTTCCTTTAAACTAAGAAGCATTACTGTCACCATTTGCATATATGGTATACATACCTTTTATTCTTGTTTATCTACACACACAAAATATTTAGTTTTACTTGTGAACATCTGGCAAATTAACATTTCTTCAGAATAAATTTATCTCAAAGTTTTCATTGACTGTGACAAAATGCCCCTTAAAGTCTTCTACTCCAAGGTAGGATCTGTCTGCAGTTTTCTTTTAGAACTCATTTTCACCCGTCTTTTTCGTTGAGCGACAGCTTTCATAATAGTGTCATACAAGAGTGATGTGTTGTTACTTCAAAAATAATATTGAATAAAGTAAGCCAATTTATTCATTTTGGGTGGAATTTCCCCATTTTCAGTGTCTCTTCACTTTGAGAAATTTGACTTAAAACTGTATTTGGGGAAGGAAGGGCGAATCTCTTTCTACTTTCCGCCTTGTTTGATGTTTCCAATCTTTTGCTCAGTTTAAACATCTGTTTCCAAACAGCCAGCAGCCACTAATTAGTGCTTTTAACAAGACTCGACATCGTGAGAACCAGAAGGTGGGCATGAAAAAACATGTAAAAGCCCCACTCAAACGGTCACATTCTTGCACAAAAAAGGGGATTTTTTTTGGTGGTGGTGGTACGTCTGTGTGTGTGTGTGTGGGGGGGGGGGGGGGTATTATACAAGACCTTGCCTGTGGATTGTTTTTTTCTTTTGGGGGCTCCTTCATTGTTTGAAGTCATCAAGGTGCTTTCATGAAAGGTAAGCTCCAGATTTGAACGTTATCTCTATTTTTACAGTGGCACTGAGATACAAAAAAGATAACCCTGTTTTAATTTAAATGATTTTTTGAGAAGCAAACTACCATACGGTAAATTACACAGAACAGAGGTGACATGCACTGTGATTGATTTCATGGGTGGAGAAGGGGTGTAACCTTATATCAAAGTGAAGCACATGATTCAAGGATACTGTGGGTTGCCTATATTCTGCAAATCTTTAGGCCAAAGAAATGGTGTCGTTTAACACTTTAAAAGGTTTCATATATTTTTTGAGGAACAGTTTTATTTACAAATACCCCTGTCCTTTACCTGTATTTTATAAGGGTAGCTCAATACATAAAACAACCTCCAACAAATGCCATTCCCAATTCAACACACTTTGTTTCGATTACACTGGGTTCGTGACCTTCAACCACACTACACAGAAAGCAACATCTGCAGTAACTATGTCCAAGACACTTGAGTGCCAGAAATAAAATACAGGGACTTTTTTTTGCTAGGTATTAGATAGTATGTTACTCAGTAATCACATTCATTGGAAACAAAACACAATCAATGAGTCAACTCAAAATAAAAAAGACAGCAGGAGTCACATGCAGGATACCTGCAGGCGTGTTTTCCACTCTGCATGTAATGTCACTGACTTAAGGATATTGATTACTTTCATTCTTTATTATGTGACACTGCATTAATAAACTATAAATGTACCGAATAAGACGTGCCAAACTTCTCGGTTACAGTAATTCCTGCAAT